AGAGAGAGAGAGAGAAACATCAATGTGATAGAGAAACGTTGATTGGTTGCCTCCACAGGTGCCCCGAGCAGGGATCGAATACACAATTAAACCTGCAACCTGGGTATGTGTCCTGACCGGGAATCAAACCTGCCACCCTTTGGTGTACGGAACGATGCCCCAACCAACTGAGCCACACTGGCAGGGCTGTATTTTAATTTTTAAAACGTGAATTGAATCACTACTTCTTCTTATTGAACGGGGAATGCCTGCATCCAGGAGCTGGCTATAAAGCTGGCTGAGACCCTGAGTGGTCCCCATGCAGTGCCCAAGCCAGAAGCCTGGTCCGATAATGAGCTGTGGGACAGAGAATGGATGCACAGCCTCCCTTTCAACTGACTCAAGGTGAAGGGCCTCGTCACTGAATGGTGGGCTGAGAGCCAGGAGACCAAGAGGCTAATCTCAGCTTTCCCACTAATTAACTGAGGGACCTGCTATAAAACGGATATATTTCACACCCTATGCAACACGGGAGTTTTCTGGGGATGATAGTCTGGTATTTACTCTAGAGTTCCCCCTTATTTTAAGAGCAGTCAAGATTTATTTTCTGCCCACTATCTCCTATCCTGCACGCTTCCGCTGGCAATGACAGTGAGAACCCTCTGAAGACTGGTTAGTGCCACTGAAAAGGAACGAGGGGAGATGTGTGCTGAGAAAGAAAGCACCAAAAAGACAGAACAGGGGCCCCAGCTGCTCTGGCCAAGCCTTTGGGGACACCGCCCTGAGAAAAGCGTGTTATTCCCTGGATTCGTCCTGCATCATCCTGGAGTCACATACATGATGATAATGACTAAGTTCTCCCTTCCTCCCCACCTTTCTTCTTCTATCTTAAGCAGTAAAATAACTGCCCCAAAATGATTGGAGCGAATTATGTCAGGAAAGAAAACATATGGAAGTGTTTTGGGGAAATTGTGAAACACTGTACAAATGTGAGGCATCTATATGATTGCTGCAAAGCCCAGGCTGCTAGGGCGTGTGAGTATTTCAATGCAATAATAATTCAATATTTCTATTTGAAGCAACATGAGCCTGAAGACAACTGTTGAAAGAAACTGCTCTTATGGAAAGAGATGCTTTACTCTAGGCCCCCTTTTAAATTCGCCCCTAGAGTTATAAGCTTTATTAACCCGTCTATTGGAAGTGCGGCCTAATGTATTTATGGTAAGTTGCTCCATTTCATTTACTATATAAACAGCAATACATCCGCTTATGTGTGCACATAATTCAGTGACGTGATCTGACTATGTATACAATGATTGCATGGAAAGTATTTATATAGCCCTATAAATCCAGGAAGGCACATATAAAAATGATCCATTTTATTTCAGGAGTTTTGAAGTAATTTAAACCCATAATCTTAGCTCGTCTCAGCATGCCACAAATATCCATTTTATAGAAGGGCAAAATATAAGAAGTGTTAGGCTTGGTCCTTCGACACCCATTTCCAGTTGGACAAATATCATATCAAAGTTATTTGCAATAAACTCCCCTGGGCCAAGTCAGCTTTGATAAAACGCTGCCCTCGGGTAAGGCTGGCCCTCAGAGATGGTAATGTAGCCACGGAGTCAGGCCTGCCCTGAGCTTTGCTGATATCAGCCCGAGAGGGCCAGCAGAGGGCTCGTGGTTGGTGATGATGGCATGGACCACTTCTGCTTGTCTGTTGCTTCCCCAGAAGGGGACTCTGGTTCAGGGTATTTTCTGGGACCTCTCCACAGGTCTCTGACAGGAGTTTTATAATGGAAATCAAGTAAAGCGCAGCATAGTTGAGGGACTTCCTCAAAAAACACAGCAAGTTCCTAGAATTCCTGTTCCCTAACATTCTGCTCACACAAAAAAAGACTTTTAAAATCCCAAACTGGGATTAAAAGTTTGAAAAGCACTGGGCGTTTAGAATGTATCAGTGTGGCCTAGACAGCCCTGAATTCAATGCTTAGCTCTGCCACCTGCAAGTGTTGGGGTCCTGGACAAGCACCTTCGCCTCCCCATGCCTCAGTGCACGCAGGCGCAACAGGAGAAAGAATCACCCCCAAGCAGGGTGGGTAGGAGCTTCAGAGATGGTGTTTGTGCAGTGCCTGCCTCTCATTGACCTCCACAAATAGCATGCTAACTGTTATGATGTGGTGTTTCTGCAGAATATAATCAAATTCTTTGACACTTAATCTCTTCTGGGACTGGAGAGGGAGGTAAGGAGAATCTAGAGCAGATTCTAACTTGATTTCGCCCAAGAATAAGTCATGTACAGCAGTCACTGGGGCAGGGGGGGTGGGGGT